AATCCTATCCAGATGATACAGTTTAGCAACTTTTCAAAGAAATCCTTGTTTCAAAGTTTTAGATATCCAAAAGTAACTTATAGATGTTGCGAACGGCGAGGGGAGCCGCCTCCCCGTCGCCCTCGCGCGCCCCGCACGCGACCACATTCCTTCATGCGTCGCGACCAATCGCCGCGCTCCAGTGAACAACAAGTCGAGTAAGAAGAATAGGAAGATTCCTCCAGTGTTAATATTAGTTAATTAATTAAATATATAGTGCCGCCATTGTAAATAGTGTAATAAATTATTTATAGTTTCGTCCCTCTTTCATTCTTTTAATAGAACAATCATAGGAAATCAGGTCTTCACAGTAGTTACTTTTATAAATTAATACAGTCCACTTGCTCTGAGTCCGCTTCAGTCGTCATGTTACCTTTGGTGGAAGTAATTTATGAATATTATGCAAGGTTAAATATGTTAATACTAATAATTAAAATCATAATACCATTAGTTGTGATTTTAGAAAAAAAAACGCTATCAGAAGGATTAATATTGTGGGTTAATAAATAAAAACAACGTAGTTTATTTGAACATAAAAATTAGAATATAATCATTTTTTCAGTAATTATTTAAAATTATACACTTAAAGTACATTTATAGTAAATTCAATAAAAAATACCAGTGCAGACGAGATACATAAAAGAGAAAATATTGTTTTAATTACATCGTTGGTTAAATACTTTCCTTTCAGTAAATGCATTACAAAATACAAGTTGGAACATAATAGAAATTAAGTTAAAAAAATGTCACTCGATATAGAAAAATAAAGATAAGATTGAATCACATTCAAAAATTACCCACTAGTGACTAAAATTTTACTTTCATAAAGGTTTGTTCAAACCGGAACCTCCTGTAGCGACATTCGATAACGTCCGGACGCGTGGACATACCGAGGTTTTGAATGATTGATTTAAGATAATAATTATACTAACATGTTGCACTCAGAGGTCCCTCACATGCGCTAGAAATAAATGTAACATGTCATCAATTCTAATTTTTTTAATATTGTACTCTGAACAGTACCCATATGACTATGATCGACGCCGGGCGATCTGTGCCACCATCAGCGCCTTTACCGCGAATCTCTGACATAATTTAGCCATCGAAGTACATACAGTAAAGGTAAAAATAGTGAGGTTAGTATTAACTTTGGCAAATACGAATGAAGCATGGTGATGACGTCGTTAAATCGACATAATTGTGACAACGAATTAGCGTTTGTATGTTACCATAAATTACAACTGAAAGTCGCTTACTTGTACAACCTGGGGTGCTAGTTCTCCAGTCACTCTATAACCTATGATGTTCCGCCTAACGGTAACTGTCTTATAAACACCCGAATGGTCCACCCCGGTGTGATTCTAATAAAGCGCGAGAATATTGAGCCGCAACATTTCAGTCTTCAAAAAGAAGCTTACGCACATACCACTAGACGAATAATTTTGTAGGTGTACATTGAGCTTTAAGACAAACTGCTACTGGGGCACGTTGTCAATGAGATGACGTCACTTGTGCGTACTTTTCGTACCCGTAATTGTGTGGCGTGTGCGTTTCGGTCACTGTCACAAATCTTAAAAACTAAAGGTGATTCGAGCGAATAAACAATGCGGCAGTGTACAAAATTTACATCACATTCACTCGAAATATTAAAGCATACGAGTTGAAAGTTCAGCGTCGGAGGAACTCACTGAAATACATTAACATACTCAAGAGGTCAGCGGCTTGGGCCAGACTACAAGTGGAATGCTTGCTTATAATACCATTGAACTTATAAAGCAATTTGTCATTAAATCATTTAAAAGTGCTTATAATGTCCGATGCCTAGTCTTTTCAACTAAAGATTATAACGACAGTTTTGACAACTTTCCTGTCAGCTAAACCACTCAAGTCGATGCCTAGCTACCGCCTCTGAAATAATTGTTTTAAAGTGATGTGAAGCTTAAAAGTATTCCCAGTTGGGTGTAGAACTGCGCTAATTTTAATATTAGTTCGATTTTACATACACATATTGTTACATAACAGTAAAAAACCTACCTAGCAACAAGCGAGCGTTGCTCGAGACGCGGGCCACTTCGCAGGAACGACCACTTGACCAGCCTTGTGTTGTTTACCTCCTAGTTAGTACTATCATTTTCAATTTTAATTGTTGCGATATTAAACATAGTTCCGCTAAAACTATCATTTAAATTATTATGCAGAAAGCTGTTCTTTTTCAATTTTTTTATAGATTACTAAATATTAGAAACCTTATAAGACCTTTGGTTTCTATAAAATGCTTAAATCTCATTAGTTTACTGATGTTCATTTAGATTTATTAACTTTCAAATTATAACAAGGGTACATAACTTTTCTGGCCATACCAGATGTTTATATGGGCGTTGTGTACGTAATGTCAATTAGACGAAGATTTTAAGTTTCGCTGTCCGCGGAATAGGTCTAATAGTTAAACAATCGAAATGTTTATATATTATTCATGGGACAAGGAAATGGTTAAAAGGTTTATCGAAAAGACATAATATTTAAATATATAGTTCTTAATCGACTATAAATATTAGTGGCATCTTTGGTTTTCATCTCTGTAAGATTATAAGCCCAACTGTGGGCACTTGGTGTGCGTCGTCGGCGAGTGGCCCGCGCAGTCACAGTGCAGGCGTTACATTTTCATTTAAGTAATCACTTTTTACATAATTCCATAAACGTAAAATGAAAATAAATCACCTAACTATGACAAGTAGAGGTTACTGTCTATTTGCATTATTCATTAATGTTATTGATACAATTACTGCCCTAATGCTTAAAAGTAAGATTTTTAATTTTATCATTAATAATAAATTATGTTATACAGTATATATATGTATAGTGTTGATTACGCCAAAATCGCGAGTGTATACAAAGTTTATATACTCACATATCTTACATTTGATGTAAATAGAACCCACAGTAACGGCGCGGTGTGAGATGGAGATCGAGCTCCAGTTAGTTACCGTTCAAGTAAACCGTCGTCGCTACAAACAGCGATTCCCCGCCGATACAGACTCCACTCACCTTCTCGAAATAACCACGGATACTGACATGATTACAAACATTTGTTACTCACTTAAATATAAAATGAAACATTGCAGTTTACATGTATCATTTCCAGTACAAATACGCTACACGAAATAAATAATGTATTTTTTTAAATATAATTGAATAGAATAGTAGATCTTATATGGCTACAACTAAGGTTTAAATTGTAAAGTGATATAGAAAAAATATGAACACAAAACTATTACAAATAGTATATGGCATAAAGAATCAATGCTCTTAGAAGTATAATTAATCAGTTTGTGCTTAACATGAGGCTTAACTTATAAAAAGTATATTTATTCGGGGATAGGACACAGCTCCGTACAAAATGCAAGTTATGCAAAATAAACGATATCTCCTTAATCCGACTGAGCGGTTACAGTTGTGCATTCAAAAGATTACAAAAATAATTTCTCATCGTGATAATACCTAATAATGGAATGATATTTTGTATCAGTTTAAGTAGGCCTGTGACGTACTCGTGCGTTTTACTACTGAGTTTCAGCGCTAAATTTTGGTTCCTTTTTGTTTTTGGTCCGTAAGAGAGTGAGTATATAAGCATATTTCTGTTTCCGGAGCGCGCTGAAGCGTCGTCCCGCGTTCGGCGAACGACAAACCGAACACTGGAATACAAGCGAACCGACATCCGTGGTCACTGCAAACATAATCCAAACGAACGAACCGAACACGGAGAGACGTTTCGATCCCGAAACGATGTAACTAGATCTCGGACCGCAAAAACGAATTCTACGAGCGTCTAGCACCAAAATTTAGAATAGAACGCGAATTATACAAAACGCCTTGTCCGCAACAATTGTCTAAAAAATAAAAGAAAATTAATCAATGGGAATATATTACAGGGGAAAATAATGAAATCGGATCTAGTTACGAAGATTCAGGCGCGAGCCAATACTGAAACATATACAATGCCCCGAAGCCATGTGACTGATATTTGCACATCGGCGGTATAACCAGTAAGCTTACTTCTCATAAAAATATATAATATAATAGGCTTAGCTGCGGCCCGGCCACACCCTATACATATGTTCGCGAGCGGCCATGATATGCTTGCTCGAGGCAAATACCAGATACGAAAATTAGTAAACAAAGTGTTCGCCCCTTCATACATCGAGGGTGTGAGCGGTTACGAGGAATGACGGCAGTATTACCACAACAACGTGCCAATAATCCCACTCCAGTTTTTTATCGCTCTATTATATTTACTAAAATGTAATTATTATTTAATATTAGAAACTTTTAGAATATTTGGTACAATTGTAGAAAAAAAACTACCGTTATATATCTCAACAGTTTCAACTACACTTAATCAACCTGCAGTAGTAATATGCTTTCTGAAACACCAATATGGCTGAACAGTTTTTAACTTTTTCCTTTTCTCATGAGTAAGAATTACGAAACAAAACAGTGATGTAAGTGATTAGAGTGGTGAGCGAATAGGCGAGTGTAGGAGTCGGCACGAAATTTGAGCGTTGGACAATTTTTTGTGCGGCTTGTTTGCGCAAAATCATTTTAATTACACGATTGTGTACTTCAAACTCTCATCTCATGGTTCTTACACCAACTACTGATTTCTGAACAAACAATAAATCAATCAAGTCTGATGTTCATCTTGTAGTACCAAACAGACTTAGAGGTTAACAGTGCTATCAAATTATCTGTGTGAATCAGTGGAACTAGATTTAACGATCAATTAACAACACCACCATCTTAGTGAAATTTGACATCTGCTTAAGACACCTGGAAGCGAGTCCACTCTCAACAGATAATTTGGTAGCACTACAGTGCGCAAACGAAGGCCAGCACTCACAGTCCGTGCCGTGTATATATGAGCGCTAGTGGGTTGCGTCGTGTGGTTGCCGCGCCCCGGGTGCTTAGTAGAGGCCGCAGCCGCGCAGGTTGTTCGCGATGATGACGTCGGTGACTGCGTCGAACACGAATTGGATGTTGTTGGTGTCTGTGGCGCAGGTCATGTGGCAGTATATCTCCTTGGTTGTCGACTTGTTCTTCGCCTCGAACTGCGCCTGGATGTATGCCGCCGCCTCGCCGTACTCCTGCGCGCCTGTTAACAAAGTTGCAATTACACAGATGCAGACTTGTTAATGAGATGACCAGATATCGCTAGTCGGGACTAAGGTGAACATATTTGTTACGCAGACGGTCACACAGTGTCATCATCATTGAAAAGTTGCGATTTAAAGTGAAAGCTCCAGGGTGGCCCACGAAATTCAAATTTTCTTGCGTTTTTAGAATTTGCAGGTCAGGGTCAGGTTGAATGTTTAATAAAATATGATTCGCGACCGTAACGAGTATGTGTTTATAGAATTATTATCATTAAAATCACCAATACAACTAGGCTTGCCAACTCCAAAAAATGCATTTCCGGGATTACCCAGCTTGATATCCGGGACTTGAGTATATTACGCGGGACACAACACACCACATACAAATTGGTTAGAAAAAAAACACTACCTATATATATTTTTTAATAATTTAATAAAAAAACAATACAAATGTTTGACAAACATTTTAAATTTTTAAATTTTATTTATTTTTTGTTTTAAAACTGTACTAATTTTACGATTTTGCGCATTTTAACAAGTTTTTGTGTTGCAATACGTAGTTATAAAATTCACTGTATTTTTATCTTAATTGATTTTAATTTGTAGTTCAGCCTTGACGTGGTCAACAGTCAGCTTATTTCTGCTGTCTGTCCATGCATTTCCACAGAGAGAAAACACTCTCTCTGCTGATGCATTTGAAGGTGGTATCGAGGCTACCATCTGAAAGATATGTCGATAGCCAGGTGCGTCTTTCATGCACGGAACGAGCGAGCGAGCGAGTGACCCACCCCCGCGCAACACACTCACCCGCCCGCGCACTGTACGAACACCGATCGCTACTCACGCGAAATACGCAAAGCGTAGCTATTAAGAAATTTTAATAGTGTAGTTGGTGGTACAGTTGGTACGAGATTGATACTAATATCATAAAATCACTGATTTCCGGGACAAAAGGCGTCCCGCAAGGGGTTACGGCGGGACGGTCCAAAATTGACCCAGAAGTGGGGCGTCCCGGAAAATCCGGGACGGTTCGCAAGCCTAAATACAACCCTCTAAGTTCATATAATAAACTAGCTACAGAGTCAACTCACAAAAGGCTCTTAACGTGACGGTATAATTAAACAATGATTTCCAAAACAATCAACCGGGAGACGCCCTTGAAAAGGAATGCGCGGTTCAAATTCCAGACCGTATCTCTACTCGGCGCGTGCGAAAAATTCCACATCACACGAGCAAGTTAAATATTGTAAAATTCACTTCAACACGCAATCACTATATAATTGGCGCAATTACTTTCAAACAAAATTACTTTAATTAGTCAAATACAATACAAGCCTCTTGTCACGAACTTAAAACCTAGACAAACTAAACCGAGGCGGTTTTCACGAAACCACAATTACGTAGCGAAATAACGCGCACAAATTCTAAAAATCTAGACCATAACCCAAAACCCAGTCGCGCTAAACATCTGCAGCGGTCACCGAGATACGCTAATTGACTGCACCGCTGCCCTCGAGCTACTGTCCGTCAGCCCGCGCGTCGGGCGACTGCCCGCTCCACCATCGGGTGATTCGCTAAGTCCAACGTGATTGGGTGGCGTCTCAAATGCCTATATTTGGCCAAAACACCCTTTGAATGAGTTTTTCTGGAAATAGTCATACATTGGAATTATACAAACATAGACGGTTGTATTGATGATTATAATTCTGTAAATACATACTCGTTACGGTCGTGAATCATATTTTGTTAAACATACAACCTGACACTGACCTGCAAATTGCAAAAAACTTAAGAAAATTTGAATTTCGCGGACTACCCTGGCGTGTCCACCTTAATTAGAAGATTTTAGGTTTCTAGTGTATGTAGTATATACACAAAATAATGCCTCAGCGCTATTCTATAAAATTTTGTCACATTTTAATTTTTTTTTCATTTTTCTACTTTTAGGAATATACGTAGTTTGATTTATCCATTTCTAATCTATATACAATATATCTAATCTTTCAGAAAGAAACATTAATATCTACACTATAACTTTGCCCACTATGAAATCTGTCAAATATTTGACTTCATTCCTAAGTGGCGCCGCCCTAGCGGCAGAAAAAATCGTGGATTCTTTGACGGATCAGTCTCGCAAATATTAATGGCGGAAAGTCCATCCATAAACACAATACGGCCTTTTCGAATGAATAGATGATATATTTCGGTAGTTAGGTCCTAGTTTGTTAATTAGCGGGTCTTACTGAGAGCTTGATATTTGGATGAAAAAGTTGGTAGTAGCGATATATAGACTAATAATTTTGAATGATTTTTTTTTAATGAGAAAACACGTCGAAATTTATAACAACCACAAGATATATTCGCGGTGTCATATCACAACTAATATTTTACAAATGCAGGTCTTATCCAGAATGATCTCAAAACCAGACCATCACCGCGTAAATTAAGCACAAGTTTGTATCACAATCTAGGAAATTTGTAATGCAAAACAAAGTTCCATTTACATCACAGACATTGTTAATAATCTCATGATTTTAATAACTTATTATTTTAATTTTCATATTGATTTAATCAATAAAAACAAAAATTCATTGTACAGGACTGCAGCGGAGCCTAAAAGGAGGGTAGCATTTTGGCTGGTATATATTTTTTAATCATTTTAAGCTAGTATTTGCCTTCTTAACGGTGTAGTGGCGGTATAAAAATATCTACTAACTCTCTTTCGCTGGAGTACTTTTGAGGGGCTGTAATGATAATGATGATGACTTGACTTCTATTCCACCTGATGGTAAGTGGTGATGCAGCCGAAAATGGTAAAAGCGCACTGACTTAGTTTAACAATAGCCTCAAAGCAATCTTGCATTGTAATCGAAAGACATCTGTATGCTGGCAAATTTTTCCTCATGACAAACGACGAAGAATACCGTTTAGTTCGAATACGTGGTGAAAGACAGAGTGTAAATAACAGATTAGATCTAGGATATTATGCATGTAAATAACAGTCATTAGTTAGATTTATGTAGTTATTTAAGTTTTAGTCCTATATGTCAGGTGATTGTCCAGTATGTAAGTTTGTTGATGTTTTTTGTTTTTTAACTAAAAGAATTAAGAGCTATTGTATGTAATTAATGTATGTTTTTTGTCGGATAAATGCTGCATAACACACTCTCATCCCCCTCCGATCTGCCTCATTGGTCGATTAAAGACTGTGTGTCTCTTGTACTGTACGCCCACACAAGCTGCGCTACCGGCGGCACATAATAAAATACGTGTCGCCGCCAACCTCTGACATTACTCGCTCAACATACGCATACTCGTACATTATGTATATTATTTCATTAATATACAGTATATATACATTAGTACGTAACATTGTGGATCATGCGGAATAAGGACTGAGATTTATTTACAACCTAACAGGCTTAGATTACACCGTCTAAAGTAAGAATTATTTTCTATATTTTTTCGTTTTCTCTAAAATCTATGACGACTTTTATCACATAACTGGCCCAGCAGACGATGAGTTTTACTGCTCATTCACTTCGGACTTTTTGCGGCGTAAATAAAAAAATATTAATAACCACAGCGCCAATTAAGATTTTGTGATTTTCTCTTTTGGCACTGAACCAAAATAAATGTAAATATTAGTGAGTCATTAAAATTCACAAATATATCATTTGTTGATAAGTTGACGACAGCGCCACCTATCGGATCTTAGCATAGCAATGAACTATTCGACTATCTCGACAAAACAAGTATATGGTGTGAATGACAATCGTTTAAGTCGTTCTGAAGTTATACCATCACTACCAGATACACCAAAAATAAAATAAGAAGAAAGGAAGTTCTTGTAGCACAAATCGTACTCATTAAGTATCAAATATTCTAAAAACACTACAATTAAGCTACGATGATTGAAGTCAACAGGAGAATTGTGTTTTGAAATTTCTTTTGTTATTGCCGAAATATAGAAATATTTTATTTGCTACCAAACTAAATCACAAAAATTAAAAATATCGTACATTATATTTTTAAAAACATATCGTTCATTATGTTTAAAAAAACAGCCGAGCAAGAAATTGCAAAGTCAAATTCGTTATAATATTTACTGTAAGTACTAAAGGAGAAAAAACGACAATTCACAGAAGTTCATGTACCTGCTTATGGTAGCATTAGCATTAGCTAAATTATTTCACTAAAACCATAAGTACACCAAACTTTCTTCACATCATTCGAAAAAAAAACATGTAACATATACCGACCTACATGTAATACAATTGAATAGAATGGGAACAGTCAACATTTCAATGAGTTCTTAAAAGTTAAAAAGTTACATGTCCCACTGCTGGGCACAGGCCTCCTCTCATTGCTGAGAGGGTTTCAGGGCAAGGAAATGTCCGCAGCGGTTCTCCAATGCGTGTTGGCGAACTTCACTCTACGAAATATTTCTTTCTTATTTCTCAGACGTGTAGGTTTCCTCACGATGTTTTCCTTCACCGCCGAACACCGCCGGTGTATCAGCACTTAAAATTGCAATTAACAATTTCATTGGTATCGGCGGGGATCGAAACCCGGTTTGCTCGCATACTGTGAAATTTACAGCGATCATTTAGTCCCTGTGCTAACACGACTCTTAGTTTCCGAAGTTAGTCTTGAAGGAGTTGTTTTAAGGATCTATCACACATCTTTAAATCGTCTTTCATGGGTTTACAAATTTGAAATACAAAATGCGCAGGTTAGCAAAGTTATGGTTAATTTTATCCGCATAAATAAAAAATTATACCTTGTTTTGCATAGCCTACTTAACTTTGCATAATTTTACGAAATTTTCTATACAAACCAGGCTTCGCGCCCAGTACAATTTTTTCATAAATTCGAAAGGTTACATGAATTTCCAAAGCCCGATATCAAGCCAACGAGTGCAAAAACGATAGTTTAACACGCATCGATTCGTCATTGATGACATTTTGAAGTCTTTGTTACACATCTTTATATATAAAAATTACGTGTCACATTGTTTGTCCGCGATGAACTCCTAAACTACCGAACTGATTTCAATGAAATTTGCACACTCTGTGCAGTTTGGTCCAACTTGAGAGATAGGATAGTTTTTATCCTGATAAGTGACACTCAATGTTATTTTATTACGAATTTAAAGATTTTTTATATGAAGGTTTGTCGAAAAGGGCAGAACAACGTCTGCCTGGCCAGCTAGTACTATTATACACTTAAGCGTGCAAAAATTTCAATATTATCTCGAGATCAATTTACTTTTGGGTAATATATGGCATGCTGGGCTTCTTGGCTTGTATTGAGATACCACCTCTGTATCCACCATATATTGCCACAAAATACAGTCCTGAACCATCTGCATGCATTGGCTACTTGCGAGTTTCATATAAGGATAAGGATTATAAAGATTTAATATATTTATCTTTAACTATTATACATTTACCGTAATAGTAACATGAAATACGAAATCTTTTAAAAATAACTACGATATATGATTATGTATATAACCATGCGGTATGCGTATCAAATTCTTTAAATTGCGTGACATATACAGCTTTATCAAGGACTTTAAGAATAGCCTGCGTTCATGTTTTTTGCTCCGCACCTTTGATTATAGCGTGATGAGACATCGTTCAGTTCTTAAATTTAAGCATTAAATTTTTTAATAAAAATAGTTTAATGGGAATCGCGTGTTACTAACAAATATAGGAGACAAAAAACTATTTCTTTTTTCTAACGCATCTATCCTTACCAAAATTTTATTCTATTTAATAAAAGTGATATATCATCTTGTTAGTTTTATTACATATACAGGCATTCAGTCGCCTTCTTCTTTTCAACTTCATCACTATCTTCAACCTGTGGTAGTAAACTGCTTGACATAGGTTGTTAACAATAGGGAAACGAAATTTTAACTTTTTACATCGAAAAAAATAGAGACTTCATTTCAAGAGCCTCTTTCAGGGCGTTCAGATCAAGCTTCGCACCTCCAGTGGTCCTGTGCAGATTCCACATTAAGCACAAGCGCGATTTCTATTCCTTGACATGTTTACACCAAAGATTTTCGCTCCTACGACGCAAGCCCATTGCTACTTTAGTTAGTATGCCAACTATGTCGTTGACTGGTTTTCTCGCCGGATTTTTCAATACGAATCAAAACCACGAGATGAACGCTAAACATATCCCATTGCTCGCTGAGCGACTATGAGCTAATGAAGTAACCGTATCGTCCAACTTTTAGGTCGCGTTCCGACGACATGCACCTGCTACGCGCACGCCACGCGCGTCAGCACCCGCGTCTGACTCGCTTTGAAATTTGTTGCATATAATTTGAGTCTTATGGCAAATCAATATATCTGAAATTACATTTATCGATGTTCAACTGCACACGCCACGCGCCCGCCTCGTTCCCGCTCCGCGCCGGCCCCGCGCTCGCCCCGCACGCGCTCTGCACCCGCCCCGCTCCGTCCTACGCCCGCGCTTTTTTATACAATTTACAAAACTAGGGGACATTTTGTCCCGCAACATGAAGTGGGACAATCAATCTACGTGACGATATAACGTTGCACAGTGACCCGCAACATTTTAAGTGATGCGGAACATGGTGCTTGTTCCCGCTTCCCGCCTTTTTTACCGGGTGTAGTCTAGCTTGCTACATATTTATTAACTTCCTTCTGCGTAGCATTGAAAGGAAGTTAATGGTTTTAGCTGGCAGTCTGTTAGTCTGTGTATGCCGACACGATAACATCCGTTCCACTGGACCGATTGACTTTAAATTTGGTATGTGGATACCTTGAGGTAGTAGCTCGGTCGAGTTTGAATTTGGGTCCTGTAGGTCAAAGGGCACCAGAGATATGGGATTCACGCAGAAGGAAGTTGTTTTTCTTGAATTTACATTCAACTCGTTTATCTATGGTGTATGGTGTCATGAGTGCAACTTGCCTGGCAATATGTCAGTAGTGCGGGGAAACGAAACCGTGCTTTTACTTCTTGAGCTTTACCAGAGTCATATTTTGTTGTGGGATGCATTGTGGGGAGCAGCAAGCTTCTCACTCGTTGCCGGTCGGCAACACTGCATGTGTTTGTGTACGTACACACGTATTGTAACCATTGTGTGTGCGTGTGCGCGGGCGGAGGTAAAAAGGACGGATTGACGACTCAAAATTGACTTGTGAAATGATGGAAATGTCTCCTCATTCATGCGGAAGTAGTTGAAATATTTTTTGGAGTCCATTTTCAACTTTTAAAATATAGGTATAATAATATGTTCCTTCTAAGTATTTTATTTTTAAGATTGGATGTTTGAATTCAAAATTTTAATTCTCTGCGTAGATTATATTTTCGTCTTAAATGTGGGCATTGCTAAATATATAACATAGAAATACGACAACTTGACGAGAGCATGTTTACGTGTTGTAGAACTGAAGTCTGTGTTAGTACTGCCCAAAACCCGAGCGTAGACCGGCAACGGCGCCAGTACAGTGGAAAAACAAAGCCCCGGCACCGATGACCGGTGCCTGTGCCGTGACGGTGAATGGAAAAATGAGTATGATATTTATCTAGGAAAAATTGTTCGGCTCTAAGTAGGTTCAACTTCGACCGGTTGGTCAATCAACACTAAAGCAGGGCTAGCATAGGAGACAATTTTATCCCCGGGGAAAGGAGAAAATGTTTATCCCCTCGCTTAGTTTTATCCACCCTTCGAGCATGGGTATACCGGTGAATATAATATCCACAGTAGATAAAATGGGAGATAGACTTAGACGTAGATAGATTTTTTGTATGAATATAAACTTAAACCCACGTCCAATGAACTAGTATAGAATTGTCTCTTTCAAATGTCAAAAAAGCATAATTTTTTTATCTTTAATTTGGCTCCATGCTACGGACGGGGGATATAGGTATGTTTACTCGTTATGTCAAACGGGAATATACTTCTCCCCGTTGCCATGCTTTGGTGTAGGGACAAGATAATTTTATCTCTTGTCAGTGGAAATAATCGGGGGATAAAATTTTTGTCCCCAGCCCATGCTAGCCGTGCTGATCTACGAACCCAACTCGGCTAGACACCTTCGGGAGATTACAACATATTGTCTCGTCACGTACACTACAAAACTTGAATACCAGACTTTACAAGCAGTGCGTGTTGCCAGTGTGACGACATATAGATCGCAGGCGAGGTCCTTTACTGCGGACCGTATGAAGAAGCTCCAAGTTTCTCATTGAAATGGAGAAGGCTATGTTCGGAGTTTCTCTGCGTGATAGACTTCGTGTTAGGATATCCGCAGTAGAATCAGAAAAACCGACACAGCGTAACGGATCAGTGAGCTGAACTGGTAACGCACCGACCATATAGATCAAAGAACTGTAAACCGATATGGAAGAAAAGTTCTCGAGTGGCAGTCTCGTACTAGTAAGCGAAGTGTAAGACGGCCTCCCACTAGATGGAGTGACGATCTGGTAAGAGATGCAGGAAGTCAATGGATGCAGGTGGATAGGACCGTGCTTTGTGTTGTGCCTATGTTCAGCAGTGGATTTGTGATGGGCTGTAAATAATGATGACTACGATAGTTATGATATGTATATTACCTTTTGCATAAAAGGTTGGCATCAAACTGAAATAAGTGCCCTGAGAAAAAAGCCAACACCACCAAAGGTTGAAACTTAAAACATCAGAGATTGTCAAGAATGAGGTTATATAACAATACAAGGAGAAATGTACTACATGTGTGTTTACTGCACGTGTGTTTTCGGTAAATATATCTTTAATTTGTTATGATTAATTCAATTTCGCTTTAACACTCAAGGTTCGAAAACGCTTCCTTAAAATAAACCATATCTGTTTGTAGTCAGTGGACAGTGCACTTCTTAGCATTGTTTGAGATTATTTAAATACTTGTGAAGCACTCCAACGCTTGATTTCTAAGTCCTAAATGGATTAAAATACCAAGAGGTACATGCGAAATATATAATATGATACTTATTTAAATTATATAACTAACCCGTATACTCCGGGAAGCAGATGGTGAGCGGCGATTTGCGGATCTTCTCTTCGAACAGATCCTTTTTATTTAGAAACAGGATGATGCTGGTGTCTGTAAACCATTTGTTGTTGCAGATCGAGTCAAAGAGCTTCAGACTCTCTTGCATACGGTTCTGAAAAAAAAGAGGATTTGAAATATGTTTTATTAAAGATCTATGACCTGGACTATATCCAGAGACTAGATACAGAGGACTATATACCTTATAAATTATAGGATACGTGTACCCTTAGCAGGTAGGCGTTTATGAAAACTGTGATGTGAGAGTGAGGGTGATGAAGGAGTTATCAAGTAGACAATTTTTTTTTCGTTTAAATAGTTCCGCGCACGCCCCTTTTTACTTTGCGCCCCTAGGCACGTGCCTAGTTTGCCTTAAGGATAATCCGCCACGGACTACATAAGAAATATATATAAGAAAGTAAACTTTCCTTCTGATTTTTTATGGCTTGAAACTCTAAGTAAATTTAATGGAAACTTTTTATGCAAAAAAGTATGTACACTATATCCAGGAAAAATAAATAGGGTTTTCGCAACTTTATATACAGTTTCGAATTTGTACGGGATATTTTCTATTTTAAGATTTTTAATTACTTTCAAGTTGTGTTCGAAGGAAAAACTTTAATATTGCTATGGTATCTTTCCGTTCGTTTTTACCTACAGCGTAAGCGTAAAAATAAGTTTTGTAATTTCAAATATTTTTAAGTTACCTGTTCTGTGGAATAAATTATAATTTACAATGCTAATTTCGAAAAACGAATAGTTACGTTACACAAGACCTATTTGGTTGTTAATATGTGAATTATTTTGATAATATAAATATTTTAATTTTAAACCGTTGTTTTTTTTTATTTGGGCAATTTCGTAAATTTTGCGACACCGTAAGCGTGATGTAACTGCTTCATTGACAAATGGTAAATATAAATAAAATGAGGACATAGAACACCATCAATGTAGTTGAAGTCAATTAAATACGTATTATTAAAGATAACTCAAAAACTACTGGTCACATCTTGAAAAATTTATATAGGACCACATGAGGAGCACCAGCTTTCAAATAAAAAAGAATCATCAAAATTGGTTCAACAAGACAAAAAAGTGCAAAAAAACACAGTCCAACTGAGTACCTTATCCTTTTTTGAAGTCGGTTAAAATTAGTATTTGTCGCAAACTGTGGCAAACATTTAGCTGCCAACAACCTAGGTCTAATGACAAAGCGACCTTATGAATTAAAATAGTTATAGTTGTAATTCCAGAAATATTGTCCCGTGGGTTTCATCAGAGGGGACTTTGGGAAATTCTAGAAAGATGTTATGTCTCCCAGTAGATACCATCTTGTGTAATATGACAGATGTAAAATATTGTTTAACTGGCGACGGAGAGCAGCGTCAAAGGTGCAAGACATCTTGCATGGTGATCTCCAATGCGCCTTCCGAGCGTCGTGATTTCGGTAAATTTTAGCTATGACACTGGTTCCATATTTAGAACTGAACTGTCGCATAGCATACCAATTATAAATTTTCGGGTTTTATCAATACAAATATCATTATTTGTATCCTTCTATTTTACTACAGAAGGTTCCAACCTTGCGTCTTTGTGTGGAGACAAATTCTTACTTATTCTTACCTACTCCTATTTCGAGGATGTTCCCAAACTGGTTGGCACTTCTTATACATAAATGTCTGGAAATTGAAATGTATGTTATTATAACTCACCGTCGTCTCATCCTCGTGCAACACCTGATCGTACTCGGACATCGCTACGCAGAATATAATCGCGGTAACGTCCTCGAAGCAATGGATCCATTTCTTTCGCTCGGACCGTTGCCCGCCCACGTCGAACAATCTGGAGTAAAAATAGTTTTGATGTTGGCGATGATGTAGTTGGGGCCCTTTTCACCATGAAATAGAGTACGATTAGATACTAGTGAAGACTATGTCACAATATGAACGTACATGCGTCGCCGACGTTTTTTTCGGGGTGGCCCAGACCATACTCTATTTTCTCTTGTGGTGGTAAAAGCACCACGTACCCCTTCTTAGCTACCGCCCAGGACTAGGTACAGCGTAGACTAATATTAAGAACGTAACAGAGAAGAAATGCGGCAATGACATGTATGTCACAATGGTATAAGGTAGATGTATAGGATATTTCTCTGAATGCTTACGTTTCAGAACAATTAAACCAAATCGCATAGATAGGTGATAGAAAGCAGTTTTACCACTTCTGGGATATATCTACCCGCCTACTCAGTGTGGTGGAAGATAGTCATAAGATAACCTGATCTGAAAACTAACAATTTATTGACTCTGGCTAATAGTCAAATTCAGTAGTTGCAAGGTAGTTGTGGTGACATGTGATCTTCACTTTTTTTTTCATAAAATTTAATTTGTCAATTTAATAATAACATAAATATAACGTGCGAACGATCAATTGGATGGGAAATATCTAGGGCACACTGAACACTAAAAGTTCTGCGCTCTTGGGCGCTCATAAATATTTAAATTTCGAATGTAATATTTTTTAAACTTATGCACTCTTAAATTAATTAAAAGCATTTTTGGTGGGAAGTCGCGAGTCAATTTTTTTTATCACAAGTTGAAGTTCGTAGTACGAAGTAAAAACGGAATTATCGCGAAAAGACTAGGGCGATGATTTTTATTACGATTATAAAAGTTCACTCTCGCCGCAAGATTGCACTTGTCTTCAAAATACTTTTAGCAGTGAAGCACCTCTATTTGAGCACCGTAATGTGATCACGGCGACACGCAGAATTTGATCATGGCCATGACTGCGATCACTGATGAAAATATGGCTTCTGTCAGGCGACTAATTGAAGAAAGCCGGTGCATCCACCTTGACACATGGGTTGCAATGTTTTGGTACGAAGTTCCTTAACGGGCTGTACGATTTTGGCGGATGGGGGCTAGGCGAGAAAAGTGTAAGATTTTTCCGTCACAACCCCTTCTGACGTAGTGTAGACGGCCTTCGCGGCTATAAGGAAACGAGATGGGATAATATTCATCCATCAATAATTTAAATATAAATTTTATTTATGAATTACGCAAAACTTTCAGTGTACCCCACGTTAAAGCTACTGCGTTTTCGAGTCTGACGGTTAAAACGGAACGCCTAACAGTAAAATACTGGCTCATACCTTCAAACTTCATAATGTTCGTAAGTGTGTAATAAAATACAGTTCATACATCGGAATAAAGGTAGTATCATTTATATTGCCTGTTAAAACATATAAATGTCCACTGTTTCGAGCCGAGAGTGGACGTGTAGTGAAATTATTGAGCTTACGTTTACGTGTGCAATGTGCATGTGTGAACCAGTGGATTGCTGTGAAATATCGACTGTTACAAATGCTTTACCAAAACTAGGTCTTAAGCGTTCTTTTACAAATTGATAAAAGAGACATTACATGAACAGACTAGGAGGAAAGTATTGAAGAGTATATTTGTTCAGAATATACACTATTATAATTTCTGTGAAACAAGTCTATCAGTATATACTGTTAGACTCCCTCATATAAGGAAACAGCATCAGAGGCCTTTCACCCTTGAGGGTTAGCATTGACATGTCACCTATGTATCAATGGTAAATTCAGTCTTTCACTGCCACGTCCGATAGTTCACTGATTACATACTGTTAAGGAAGAAGTATGGATACTCACTTGAAATTAAGGTTTTTAAAGGAGAAATGTACTTCAACGATGCCAGTGGTTTTGACTCTTGTTCTTAAAATATCTTGCTCGGTGGGCTGGTAGTCTCTAGCACCTAACCGGTCGAGGTCGTCCAAGAAACTGAAAAGGAGAGATACATCTCTATCATCATCTTTTGATTAAATATAACTGACTACACACAAAAATATCTTTATAAAAGCCTACTTCTTCCTTTTAATGTTCTTAATAATGACTATGAGCCGTAGTACACATGGTTAGCGCCCGTTGTTCATTTCACCCGGGTTCGATCCCCGCCAGCACCAATGAAATTGTTAATTGCAATTTTAAGTGCCTATTTACCACGTGCGTGCGGTGGTGAAGTAAAACATCGTGAGAAAACCGGCGTCTCTGAGAAATAAGAAAAAAAATAATATTTCGAAGACATGTGAAGTTCGCCAATACGTTCTGGGGCAGCGCGGCGGACACTTCCTTGCCTTAAAACCCACTAAGAAATGAGAGGAGGCCTGTGCCCAGCAGTGGGACATGTATATGCTGTAACTTTAGCTTAGTTTTTAACTTATATCCTCCTATCAGAGGCGGAGGCGCATGTTTAAGGTTCAGTTTAACTTTGATAAGCTATAAAGAATGAATGAAAAAAATATCAATTTTGTACACTAAAATTGGCTTCTTTACGTTTTAGGGGATAATGTGTCAGTTATGGCGGAAATTATAGTAGGTATATACTAACATACTTTTTTTATTTAATAAATTAAAGTAAGCAAAAAGGGTACAGTTTATCAAAAATTAGAATATTCTGTTTTGCTCTTATTGACTTTTATACTACAACATACATGTGTGGCAGTTATCGGAATGGCATTTTAAATTGCAGAGCCGTATTGTATTAGGCAATAAATGTAAAATAAATTATACAGAAGACAGAGGAGTATAATCTGCCACTTTGCCTTGCATATGTGGACTATGAGAAAGCCTTTGATTCCGTCGAAATTTGGGCGGTGCTGCAGTCCGTTCAGCGGTGCCAAGTTGACTGTCGGTATATCAAAGTGCTGAAGTGTTTGTACAATAAAGCTACGATGGCTATACGAGTACAGAATCAGAGTACGAAACCTATCCAACTGCAGAGAGGTGTAAGACAGGGTGTTCACCGCTGCATTGGAAGACGTTTTCAAGCTGCTGGACTGGAAAGGATGCGGTATCAACATCAATGGCGAATAGATCACTCACCTTCGATTTGCCGACGATATCGTCCTTATGGCAGAATCGCTGGAGGACCTAAGCACTATGCTCAATGACCTGAATAGTGTCTTTTTTTTTTTTTTTTTTTTTATAGGAGAGGGGGCAAACGAGCATGCGGCTCACCTGATGGTAAGTGACTACCGCCGCCCATGAACAACCGCAACACCAGAGGAATTGCAGATGCGTTGCCGGCCTTTTAAAAAGGAGTAGGCTCTTTTCTTGAAGGTCCCTAAGTCGTATCGGTCCGGAAAAATCCCTGGTGGTAAACTATTCCACAAGGAAGTTGTGCGAGGAAGAAAACATCTTCTAAATCGCACAGTGGTGGACCGCCAATCATCCAGATGGTGTGGATGGTATCGGGAGTTCTGCCGCGATGTGCGTTCGTGAAATTTGGCGGCTGGGATTAATCCGAACAATTCCTCAGAGCACTCCCCATGGTAGATGCGAAAGAAAATGCAAAGAGATGCAACATCTCTTCGCAGTGCCAATGAATCGAGCCGATCGGAAAGGGCTCGGTCGTCGACGATTCGAGCCGCTCTGCGCTGGATGCGGTCAAGTGGAAGGAGCTGGCACTGGGGAGCCCCTGCCCAGAGATGGGAACAGTATTCCATGTGAGGCCGAACCTGCGCCTTGTAAAGTTGCAGGCGGTGTGCCGGCATGAAATACTGTCCCGCTCTGCTGAGCACGCCAAGCTTTTTAGAGGCCAATTTGGCCTTCTCTTCCAAGTGACCACGAAACTGCACGTCACTCGATATGTCGACTCCGAGGATACCGATACTGGCTGAGGCAAGAAGGGGAGTGCCTTGAAACTGAGGAGATACGACAAAGGGGTTCTTTTTAGCGGTAAACGCGCAAACTTGTGTCTTCTGAGGATTAAACTGGACTAGATTTAGTCGCCCCCAATCCGAGACTTTGTCCAGCAAAGACTCGACTTCTGACACAAGTTTGTTCCGGTACTCGGCGACGTTTTCCCGAGAAATATTGGCCCGGCCGGTGTATAGAGCATCACCAGTGCTGTCATCCGCATAGCAATGAATGTTACCAGTTAGCAACATATCATTGATATGCAGAAGAAACAGCGTTGGTGATAGCACACAGCCTTGTGGAACACCAGCGTTAATAGGCTTGTAGTCAGAACATGCACCGTCTACAACGACCTTGATGCTCCGATCTGCAAGAAAGCTGGTGATCCAATTGCACAATTTCTCGGGAAGCCCATAGGAAGGCAGCTTCGAAAGAAGCGCTTTGTGCCAAACCCGATCAAAGGCCTTCGCAATGTCCAGACTAACGGCCAACGCCTCCCCCTTGGACTCTACTGCCTTCGCCCATCTATGGGTCAGGTAGACCAGAAGATCACCAGCTGATCGACCCCGACGAAAACCGTATTGGCGGTCACTAATCAGCTGGTGATCCTCAAGGTACCGGATGAGCTGGCAGTTAATAATGGATTCCATTATTTTGGAGAACAAGGAGGTGATCGCGATAGGCCTATAGTTGGACGGGTCTGAGCGGTCGCCTTTTTTAGGGATCGGGTGGACAAAAGCTGTCTTCCATGAATTCGGGACTACGCCTTGGGAGTAGGAGTACCGGAAAAGACGCGTTAGGACCGGTGCCAACTCCGGAGCACACGTCCTCAGCACAATTGGGGGGATTCCGTCAGGCCCACTCGACTTCTGGATGTCCAGGGAGAGAAGTGCTTTGCGAACTGAGCGCTGTGAGAATAGCACATCCGGCATGGAGCACTCACACCGCGGGATGGTCGGCGGTATTTTCCCCCCGTCATCAAGAGTCGAGTTGGACGCAAAAAGGGAGCCTAAAAGGTCGGCTTTGTCTTTTGCGTCTTGGGCCAGTGAGTCGTCCTCCCTGTGCAGAGATGGTAGTGATGGCTTACAGAAATTCCCTTGGACAGCCTTGGCGAGAGACCAGAATGCACGGGTTCCCGAAGGAAGGCGAACTAGTTTCTCGCCAATTCTGCCTATGTGCTCTGACTTTGCCTTGGCAATAACTCTTTTGAAGGACCTGGAGGCGAAGTTATACTTCTTTTTAAGTGTGCTGGTGTTTACATCCCGAGTCACCGAAGCCGCAGCCCAGGCTTGATAACACTCCTGCTTACTGCGCAATGCAGTCTTACAGGAGCGACCAAACCAAGGCTGAGATCTGCCTCCGATGGGTACCACAGATGATGGAATAAATAGTTCCATTCCCTGTAGCACCACATCAGTGACAGAGTCAGCAACAGCACTGGGATCATCCGGCGAGAAGCAAACCCGCCCCCATGGGTAGGATGCAAAGAAAGACCGCATTCCGTCCCAATCCGCCGACCTGTAATGCCAAACACGGCGGCAACCTGCAGAACGCAACCGCGAAGGGAGCGTGAGTGGCACCATACTCCGGATCAGACAATGGTCCGAAGAGCCGAGAGGGGCATCGACGGAAACCTGATATCCGTCCGGATGAGAGGTCAGCAGAAGGTCCAACAGGGAAGGTGTATGATCCTCCACATCTGGAATCCGCGTAGGCGAAGTAACCAGTTGTGTCAGACCATATGCCAAGGCAAAGTCATAAACAGATCTCCCCGCATGATCGGTTAAACGTGAACCGAGCCATTCGGCATGGTGGGCGTTAAAATCGCCAAGGATCACGATCTCTGCGGATGGGACCTGTTGTAGCAAGGAATCTGTAGCCATTTGGACGTGGTCGATGAGTCGGTCTGTTTCGGCATTACCGCTATGGGACCTATAGAGGCACCCGTAGACGCGCGGATGGTCGTCGCTGTCTACGCGTAGCCAAAGGATGGACAGGTCCGAACCTTCAAGACTGCCGAGGCGTCGAGAACAGATGTCCTCTCTAACATACACGCAAACTCCAGCCCGAGGCACAAAGGAGTGGGCAATTTGTACCCCGGGTAGGAGAGATACGAAATATCAGTCGGAGAGGAAACCTGCGTCTCGGTCAAAAAGAGCAAGGCCGGCTTCGCCGTCTCGAGATGGTAGTGGACGGCGTTTAGGTTAGAGTGAAGTCCCCTGATGTTGCAGAAATTCACGGATAGCGTGGCAGGGGTCGCCTTGGTATTGTTGCTCAGCTTGCCCCGAGCAGTTTTGTTTTTGAGCGGAATTTTGCCCCCCCCAGAATACGCGGGGCAGCCTGAGCACCCACGCTCAGGATTGGAATAACATGGTCGTGGATGCTCAGCGAGGGATTCTCCAGGGGTACTGGTACCCTCCTGGGGTAGTCTATAAATTCCGCTACCATGTTGATGGGGGGGGGGGGGGGGGGGGGGAATTGGGCCTCCGGCCACCTGCACTCACCAGACGAAACGCAGAAGCAGAGCCTCTACTTCACGCCGGTATTCTGTGAGGTCGTGGTACCAACCCGGCTCGAGCCGGCCCATACGTGCAACAGCAAAAAACTGCTGCAGGGCTCTACCACCGTTAACTGCTGCAGGGCTCTACCACCGTTAACTCGTCACCGTTAACGTCTCCCAACGGATAGGTCTTAAGATAAACATGGACAAAGCAAAAATCATGTTTAACGTCCATGTCACACCTATGCCGGTAGTTGTTGGGAGCACTAAGCTCGAAGTTGTGTTTACCTGGGACAAATAGTCCGACTAGGTAAGTCCAACTTCAACCGAGAGGTCAAGCGACGGATTCAACTCGGCTGGGCAGCGTTCGGGAAACTACGACACATCTTCTCGTTAGACATACCTCAAAACCTTAAAACGAAATTGTACAACCAGTGCGTGTTGCCAGTGATGACTTACGGATCTGAGACGTGGTCCTTCACTGCTGGCCGAATGAGGAAGCTCAAGGTCGCTCAGCGAGCTATGGAGAGGGCTTTGCTCGGGGTTTCTCTGCGTGATAAACTTAGAAATGAGGATATCCGCA